GATTAAATCTACACATTAAAAAAAAATTAACCTAACACAAAATTAATTTAAATACACTCTTTAAAATTACGGGGTATTACATTTTCCCCCCCTAATAAAGGAATTTCATCCCCGAAATTCACTACATACCTATATTAAAAAGCTCTGGATACTTGGCACGGATAATATCTTCCCGTTCCCAAGTAGACTCTGTAGCACTATGATGACTCCACTGTACACGTACTAATGGAATAGTCTTCGTGCGCAGTATCTGATTCCTACGATCGAGAATACAGTAAGGTTGTTCCAAATAGGTTGCATCGGGTTGCAACTCAATCTCACCCACATCAATGTGTTGATATCGATTTTCTTCCCGTAGAAATTTTCGCAGCATAGATACATGAAAAACATTATGTACCATATGAAGATTATCTGGTAGAGCCAAACGATAAGCTACTGCCCCAATCCGATCTGTAATCATAAAAGGACCCACAAACCGAGGCGATAACTTACCCTTTGACCCAAACCGCATTACTCCCTTCATAGGAGAAACCTTAAGCAAAACCTGATCACCAACCTTAAATTCCAAAGCACGAGTTCGACGGTCAGTATAACTTTTCTGTCTGCTTTGAGCTGTACGCATCCGATCCCTAATGATAGCGATCTTTTCTGACGTGTCCTTAATAAATTCAGGACCCAAAAAGCTGTTCTCACCAACTCCAAGCCAACAGACAGGAGACCTACACGGTCTACCGTACAAAGCCTCAAATGGTGCCATACCAATAGTTTTCTGATAACTATTGTTATAAGCAAACTCTGAAAGCGGCAAATATTCCTCCCAATTGCCCTTAAAATCAAGAACACATGCCCGCAACATGTCTTCTAAAATCTGATTAACTCGCTCAGTCTGTCCATCTGTTTGAGGATGATAAGCAGTGCTAAGATAAAGTTCTGTACCCAAAGCCTGCTGAAAGCTCCTCCAAAATCCTGATACAAACTTCGGATCTCTATCTGATACGATGGACAATGGTACGCCATGAAGTTTCACCATTTCTGCAATATACAGCTTAGCATACTGTTCTGACGTAAAGTTTGACCGAACAGGCAGAAAGTGAGCGGACTTGGTCAATCTATCAACAATGACCCAAATAGAGTTGTGATTATGCTGTGAAGCAGGTAATCCCTTTATGAAGTCCATGGAAATACTCTCCCATTTCCACTCTGGTATGGGAAGTGGCTGTAACGATCCTGACGGTCTCTGATGATCAATCTTAATCATCTGACAGGTGCTACATTTAGAGACAAAGATAGCTATATCTCTTTTCATGCCGGCCCACCAAAACTGGCTTTTCATGTCCTGATACATCTTGTCTCCCCCTGGATGTACAGAGAACTGAGAAGTGTGTGTCTCTCTCATCACAATATTTCTCAAATTGTCAGCTGAAGGCACAATTAAACGTCCCTTGTACCTCAATCCTCCATCAGTCCCTATAGAATAAAAAAGAACATCTCCGGAGGCTAACTCCAAAACCCGATCAATACACTGTTGATCTGAGAGTTGCGCTTGAATGACCTGATGAATGATAGAAGGAGTTACTACCACACATGCCATAAAAGCGTCTGCTAACTCATCAACCGTCTTCAAAGCATCCCACTCTGTTGTAAACAAAGCTGAAAGGCTGACATAGGGTCGGCGGCTGAGTGCGTCTGCTACAACATTCGCTTTCCCTGGATGATACTGTATAGAGAAGTGATAGTCTTTCACGAACTCCAACTATCTGCGCTGTCTCATATTCAGTTCCCTCTGTGTGAACAAATACTGTAGACTTTTATGATCGCTAAACAATCGAAAAGTCTCCCCCAAAAGATAATGTCTCCAAATACGCAAGGCAAAAACCACTGCTGCGAGCTCTAGATCGTGAGTCGGGTAATTAAGCTCATGAGGCTTAAGCTTCCTAGACCCATAAGAAACTAGTCGCTCTTCTTGCATCAACACACAACCCAAACCCTTCAGAGAAGCGTCGGTAAATACTAAATACTCGATTCCACTCTGAGGTGTGGCTAAGACAGGTGCAGAAGTTAACTTGCTCTTCAATTCAGCAAAAGCAGTCTGACAAGAATCATCCCATACAAATGGTACATTCTTCTTAGTCAGATGAGTAAGTGGACCCGCAATTTTGGAAAATCCCTGGATGAACCTGCGATAATACCCTGCCAATCCCAGAAAACTGCGAATCTCTGTTGGTGAGGTAGGCTGTCCCCACTCCCTAACGGCCGCAACCTTGACTGGATCTACTGCTAACCCTTCTTCTGACACTACATGTCCCAGAAATTTGACCTCTTTCTGCCAAAATTCGCACTTCTCAAACTTCGCGAACAACTGATGTTCTCGAAGTGTCTGCAACACTGTGCGTAAATGTCTGGCATGGTCCTTCTCCGACTTAGAGTAAACCAGAATATCATCAATGAAAACAATGACAAACTGATCTAAGTATTCTCTGAATACTCTATTCATCAAGTCCATAAAGACAGCTGGAGCGTTCGTTAAACCGAAGGGCATAACACAAAACTCATAAGATCCGTACCTTGTGAGAAATGCTGTCTTTGGAACATCTTGTTCTCTGACTCATGGCTGATGATAACCAGACCTCAAATCGATCTTTGAGAAGTAAGTAGCTCCCTTCAACTGATCAAACAGGTCATCAATTCTGGGCAACGGGTACTTGTTGCGAATAGTGACCTTGTTCAGTTCTCTGTAATCAATACAAAGACGAAGAGATCCATCCTTCTTCTTTACAAACAGTACTGGTGCTCCCCACGGTGAAGTACTCCTGCGAATAAATCCCTGGCTGAGCAACTGTTGAATTTGATCCTTCAACTCTCGCATCTCTACTGGTGCCATTCGGTACGGCGCCTTAGCAATAGGTGTAGTGCCTGGAGCTAAATCAATAACGAAGTCTATCCTTCGACTCGGTGGCAAGCCTGGAATTTCCTGGAATACATCCTGGAATTCCTGTACTACCGGGATACTATCCCGAGATACCGCAGTCGCTTCCTGTGAGTCCTCCTCAAGAACGAATAAATAAGTGATAGGCCCTCTATCAGGTTGTGGTACAACAAGAAGATACATCTCCTGTCCTGGTATAGAAAATACAATAGACTTTTCGTAACAGTTAACCTGAGCATGGTACTGAGATAACCATTCCATCCCAAGTATAATATCATACGAATGCATATCTAACACTAACAAATTTGCAAGAAATCGAAGCCGGCCCATATCTATAAGGATATCACCGCTACACTCTCGTAAAATTGCGCCAACTCCCAATGGTGTATAAATATTAAGAGGTTGGTCACATAACTGAGTCATCATACCAGATAAGATAACAAAAGATCTAGACACAAAAGAATGTGATGCAGCAGTGTCAAACAGTATACGAACAGTTCTACCATGTATAGAAAACATACCCTCAATAGCCTGAGGAGCCTGCGCATTATGTGGCATGAAGTTATAAACTCTGCCATGATGCAACTGCTGAGGAGGTTGTCCCGGAGGAAATGGTGGTGCTGGAAGTGCCGGAACATTTTGAACTTGCCCACGTGGCATCGGTGGGGCCGGTAGAGGTAATGGCTGATTAGGTCTCGGCTGCCCATACTGTCCCTGCTTAGCTTTGGGACACATCTTGGCCGGATGCCCAATCTCTCTATAGTGATAACAATGTCCCGTAAAAGGACCTGCCTGCCTCCTCTGTTGACTTCCCGACCACTGTTCCTGTCCGGTCTGAGGTATCCCACCTTGTCTACCCTGATTAGGGACTCCATCCCTCTGCACATCTGGGTTTCCTTTGTTTTTCTTCCAAGGTTGATGTCCTTGAAATCTGCCCCGATCATTGGACTTTGTACCACTACTGCTTCCTTTCTCCACTGTCTGGTAGTCTCGGTTAGCCCGCTTATCTCCCTTGGACTTCCGGTAATCACTCCTCATCTGGCAGTGCTGTAAGGCGGCATTAACCACCTGGATATAAGTAGTATATGCAGGACTACCTATAATCACCACTTTAATCGGCCATATCAACCCTTTCACAAAGCGGTCTCTCTTCTTTTCTTCCGTATTGACCTCCTCTGGTGCAAATAATGACAAATTAATGAACTTCTGTTCATACTCAGCCATAGTCATATCCTCCTGTTGCAGATCCAGAAATTCAGTCTTCATCACTGATCTTACTGACATAGGAAAATACTTGTCGTCAAAGCGAGTATGAAATTCAGCATAAGTCAATCTGGTCCTCTCTTCGACAGTAGTAATAGACTCCCACCACTGCAATGCATTGCCTATCAGCATAAACGTAGCCAGCATCTGTTTCTGCACTTCGGTACAGATTACCATCCGAAGATGACGCTCGCTCTCCTGTTTCCACTGATATGCTAACAAGACATCTGTGGACCCCGCAAATGTCGGTGGATTCCCTCTGATAAACGAGTGACGAGTTTTGTCCCATGACATTGGCTGTGCCACTGGTTCAGGAACAGGTACTATTGGAGGAGGTTGCTGGTTTCGTAGAGCAGATGCTACTCCTGCTGCTACAGCTCGTGCAATGATATCAGCAACTTGAAGGGAAAATTCCTGATTCTCATTTTGAGTTGGGGAAATACTGCGATGACGGTTCGCATTCCTTGTCCCACGCCGAGACATCCTTCTTTTGAATTCAGAAAAATCTAACGTCAGTACATTATAATGGACCGACTAAAAGAATACAAAGAACCCTAATACTTAGGCTCTAATTATCAGAATACACAACGCGGAAGTATAGTAATCACAGATCCCGAAGACACTCGAACCTGGAATGCTCTGATACCAACTGTAACACCCCCAACATTTTCCACGCATAAGTTGATCAGGCTTATACACGAAAAACGAGGGATATCAAAAACAATTGGCAATATACAAGCATGGAATACAAAATGATGATAATAAAAGAATTTAGACAGGAAAGGAACACTAAATAATACAACATCCATCCATCCTTTATTTAATACCGTACTTCATTACAACTTGGAAATCCTATGTCAAGGATCCCTAAATATAACCCAGAGAGTTCAACGTCAAAAGTAAATAAAAACTGAAACTGAAGTATTACATAAAACTTCTACCCTGAATTGGATCGTAAGAGTAGATGAGTTCGGATGGTGGTCCCACACTGCTAACCTCAACCTTGGAACGGGTGCTGACCGTATCCTGAAATAACAACAATGGTGGGTCAACCCCACGAGCAAGTCCTCTCTACTATGACCCAAATCAGAGAATCAAATAAATTAATCATTATGAATCGGTTGAGTACTATATCTGTATACATCCTAAGGGAACTATCCAATGTATAACATGACCTCAACCAGAATAGACGGTGATCACTTAGACTCACACTAGGTGGTTAAGTGTCGCCTTTCCCTACCCGGGAAATCAGCTATTATACATGGTGCACGGTACTGACAACACAGACTATAACGAACTACACAGTGATAACACCTCGCAAAGTACTGATGAATATACTGAGCATATAAGTTAGGCAACACATGCCAGCAATATTAATAAATATACTGAGTATGTTAATTAGGCAACACATGCCAATAATATTAAACCACATACCCCGACAGCCACACATCTGTCTATCGCAACGAATGCATAAGGTATAAATGAGTCTAAACTTATTAGCCAGCTCATATGGTTCTATATGGCAACACATCCATATAATATAAATGCGACATAATTAAACAGTCCATTTATTTCCTGAAATGCACACAGCATAATAATCATGGTTTATATATCAATTAACAGTATAAACATCCCATAAGATATCATGGATAATTTATCTGACTAAAACCATGGCCTTATTTAATTTAACAGTAATGGTTGATACCATTTAATAAGATAATAACACTATTTATATTTAACAATGTCATTAAATAAATCACATTAGTATCCGTATTGTGAACGAGCCAATAAATGCTTAGAAAAGATTAATCGGCCATAAGAATAAGTAACGGGTATTAAAATAATAATTTCGTGGCCCGTTAAACCCGTAAATACCAACACAGTACCTAAAAATCCAAGTTTAAGGTTCTGGAATTTACAAAACAGGCCCTAGGGGTATTCTGGTAATTTCCAGTAGCTGTAGAGACCCCACACGCGCCCTCACGCGCCTCCCAGAGCTTCCCACACGGGCCGCCACTTTTCTCACACGCGCACGCGCTTACACGCGCCTTCACGCGCGTCTAGAACCTCCCACGCGCGCGCACGCTCTGCCACGCGCGCACTAATGCATCCTGATGACGCGGCGTGTGCTGGTTGGTCGGTTGTACCGTTTCTATGTGGGCGCGCTACACTGGATTGATCCACCTTCCTTCCCTCCATCCAACGCTCACGGATCCGGGTGTACCGCGGTAACATGGACCGCGATGCACCGGATCAATCAGACTCTACCAATGGCCAGGATGCACGCGCGCACTAACCTACCATGCGCCGCATCACACCGGATCACTCCGGTCATCTTCTTCACTGCCGGTGGTCGGAAACCTCGCCGGAGGCTCGCCGGAAATTGCAGAAAATGCCCGAAAAATTCCTAAAAATTCTAAAAAAAATCCCTAACGCCTTAAGGAAATATTTTAGCTATTTTTAACTTCATAGGATAATAACTAATTATCTACCATCCTAAATAATTAAAAATCCACTAATTTAATAAACTAAAAAAAATCATTTATTAAAATCTAAGCATGCTCTCAATGCTTCATCATAATCTAAATAATTTAAACAATTAATTTAAGGATTCAAAGGGGAAAAATAGATAATAACTTGCCTTTTTGGATTTAAAATAAATCCGCCGGTTGCGCGTAGTCGGGTAAATTTCCTACACCGGTCCAAGCTCCTTTCTTTCTTTCTCTTCCTTTCCACACTCTTACAATGGCTCACTAGAATTTATAATTTGTGTTTAACTCCCTTTCCTTCCTTCTAAGGTAGGCTAGCTAATTTATATACAAATTATATAATATAAATATTACAAATATCTAATTTTTACATTTACTAACCACCTTCCCAACCATATGGCTTCAATTCCACCCATAAACATTGATGAAATCCTATCCTAATCTCTAATTTCATCATGACATTGGTTTAATACTATTATTATTATTATAACTATTATTATTATTAATAAACTTTTATAATTATTATTATTATATTATTATTATTATTATATACAAATTAAATACTTTAATTAAATAATAATAATTAATCTAAAACATAACCAATAAAAATTTCAAAACTAATCATTATACTATATAGAACATAAATCAATATTACATGCACAAATAAATAAAATTAATTAACTAATCTAACATATATAATTACAAGGTGATTAAATCTACACATTAAAAAAAAAAATTAACCTAACACAAAATTAATTTAAATACACTCTTTAAAATTACGGGGTATTACAGGTTAACAAACTCATTTTAATTTTAAATATGCATGACAGTATTAATAATTCACCTTGCATATTGTATGAATGTATTTATATTCAGATTAATTATGTCTAATCCAATTTATCTGCTTGCTTACATATTCAATGTAACTGGACCTCATTAATATTGACTGAGAAATGAACTTAGATATTTTATTCACAACGTAAGGGTACAAAATGTATTTAATACTCCTAAACCTAATCCTTTTACTTTAAGATACCCAAGAGAACATTAATGTTTTGAATAAGTGAAATAAGGCAAATGAGATGAATTGGTACAATATTCTAGAGTTTACCTCGAATACGCTCCAAAACTAACATTTACATTATTTTATTTTCTTCAAGCATCATGCTAAATGTCAATAAGATGTTTTGGTGAGATTATATAGAGAGTACGCGAAAGTACTATGTCAAACTTAAATACCATCAAGATAGCCTAAGGAACTCCAGTATGAGATCGAATTTTGTAAAATGATAGTTTATTATTTTAAAAATTAGCTGGAGATCAATAGGGCTGACTTGGATGGTAAGTTTCAAGTTGACATGATTATTGCCTTGTTATCAAACTCGTTCGACTCTTTTAGAGTGAACTAAATAAGGAATTAGTTTAAGTTCACACTCGCTGATATTCTTATAGAATTGGGAACAAATGAAAGGATAATCAAATAGTATAAGTATTCCTATCAATCTAACCTAGTCTATACCATTTTCTTCTAGGCCCAAGTGGAAGGGCAAAGTAAAGAAGAAGGATGATAATAGGACTAGGCTAGCACAAAATATGGGTATCCAAAAGGTTAAAGGGAATAAAGCAGTGTATGTTGAGGGCAAAGAAAACTGTTTCTTTTGTCGCTAACTAAGACATTAAAGGACAAATTGTCTAAGCAATGACGTGGCATAGGAAAATATATATTTAATCATTGAGCCATGTTATGTGGTTGTATCTATTAATTCCTGATGAATAGATTCTGGAGCCACTAAACATGTTTGCAATTCATTGCAAGGATTTCAGGAATCCAGAAGCCTCGATGATATGGAATATATTTGTACTTGACCTGATGTCAAGGTTGTACCTAAGTCAGTGGGAGTATTACATCTGAAATTAGAGAGTATGAGGATATTAGTATTAGAGAACTATCTTTATACACAGATGTTAGACGCAATCTCATTCTTATTTCACTTTTGGTTTATAAAAACTGTGTTGTTATTTTGTAAAACTGGTTTATAAAATTGAATAATTATGCGATTGTTTCTGGTGCATTGAAAGATGGTTAATATACTATAATCACAAACTCTTAAGATTTGCAGGATGTAAAAACTAATGTTGCATATTCTAGATTGAATGTTAAGAGAAAAATTATTATTCCTGACTCATTGTATTTTTAATGTCTATTTTTGGGTTATAATCAGTCAAAATGAGATTCAAAAATTGGTCAAAGAAGGTTAATTACCTAGTGAGGCAGAGGAGCCTAATCCAAACTTGTGAACCCGGTTTTGAATGATAGATAACTCTAAGGGCTTAATCAGCCAGATGAAATAGACATAAAGGACAATTGGAGTCGGTACACACTGACACGTGTGGTCTTAAGAACATTCAAGCAAGATTACTCACGTTTTGGATAAGTTTATCTGATGCAACACAAGTCTTAAACTCTTGGTATATTCTGAGAAGGTCAAGACTGATGTGGAGCACAGATTAGGTAAACTTATCAAGATACTTCGATTTGATCGAGGAAATGAGTATTTCTTGGGATTGTGCAAAGACTAAATGGTCAATGAGGGTGTTATGTACCAGTTTTCCGCAATTGACGCTAAATGCATTTATGTATTAAATAGGAATAACAGAATTCCACTTAACATGGTTAGATCTATGATCAGTTATGCCACATTATCTCTTTCATTTAAGAGTTTAGCGTTAATGACATCGATGCGCATTATGAACTGCATTCTATCTTAGTCTGTCTCAAGGATACCGTTGAGCTGTGTTTTTTGACTAAATCTTAGTTTGAATCACATGCGCATATGGGGTAGTCTTGCATATGTGCGCTTGATATGGACAAGTAAGTTGGAAACAGATCATACGCATGATAGATTTGATAGCTACTCTAAAAGTCACTAGGATGGTTTATTTTATGATCTCAAAGATAAAAGTTGATTAATTACACTCACTGTTTATCTATAGGAGAATCATATTATGAATCACATACCTAGTACCATAATGTTAGAGAATATGGTATGAGTACCAGATGTACCACATGTGAACACACTTATTATAGAGATTGAGAATAATATATGAATTCCCTATTGATGCGTCAGCATCATCTAGTACACAGATTCCTTCATCGGTACATTGATGTAGTGGGAGGATAATTATCCAATCCGACATAATCATGGTTTTAGGTGAGACCGTTATGGACATCCCTGTTAAACATCAGTTGGACCCAGTAAGCTACACGGAAGCATGAACCGATATGGATACAGATCATTTTGGTGAGTTACTATGAAATCAGAGTTGGAATCTATGTATACTAATTAAATCTGGGATCTTGTAGAACTTTCGAGTAGGGTGATACCTATGGAAGGCAAGTTAATCTACAAAAAGATACCAGAAGATTTCTTAGTGCATAAATCATGAGTGTACAAGGGAATGTCATTATTTTTCTGATTCTATATATATTGATGACATCCTACTCATTTATAATGACGTGGAAGTTTTGTCATCAATAAAAAGGTAGTTGTTCAATTACTTCTAAATGAAGGATTCTCAAGATGTAAGTTATATTCCTAGGATCAAGCTTTTGCAAGATCAGGTTAAAAGGAAAATAGGCTTATCTTAATAATCCTATATTGATAAAGTTTTGACTAGGTTTGGTATGCATAACTCAAAGAATGAGTTCTTGCTTAATTGATATGGATTGCTCTTTCTAGTAATTAGTTTTCTAAGACTAGCAGAAGAGATTGAGCAAATGAGACTAGAACTATATACTTTGGCATATGGGAGTCTCATATATGCCATGGTCTATACCAAACAGGACATCCGCTACATAGTAGGGATAGTCAGATGATATCAGTCCAATCTTGGACTTGATAACTGGTCTGTTGTGAAAAATATCATTAAGTACTTAAGGAGAACCAATGATATCATACTCATTTATAGATGTGATGATATGGTCCTAGTCAGGTATGCTAGTTATAATTTTCAATCAGAAGTAGATACTATGAGGTTCATGACTTAGTGTATGTTCATTTAATGGAAGGGAAATCAGTTAGTAGATTGTTAAGCAGATTTCAACTGCTGACTCAAATCTGCAGGTGGAAAACATTGCAGCCTTAAAGACGGCAAAGGAAGCCTATTGGTTTGATCTCACTGATTTAGAGGTTGCAGAGTATACTAGCCTGCCTATTGAGCTATGTTGCGACAAGAGTGCAGAAGTAGTCCAAACCAATGACCCAAGGTTCTATAAAGCAACAAGATACACTGAGAGGAAGTATCATGTTCTACATGATATTGTCCGGCAAGAAAATGTACTTGTAGCCAGAACATTGCATTGGAACACAACTTTGTTGATCCATTATCAAAGGTGTCATTGATCAATAATTTTGATCATCATCTGGATAACATTGGTGTTAGGTGCAATTTGAATTGGCTATGAGGGCAAGTGGGAGCTGTTGGGATTTATATGCCCTGACATAGCAAATTTCTATCTGGATTATAGTGACATATGTTCCTGACATATCTGAAATATTTATGATTTATATAATTAGTGAATTCAATGTATTATATTTCGATTCACTATGAAATTGATAGTGTCCCTGTGATTACAAGAAATATTTATATATATATGTAAGTGATGGCAATCAATGCATAATATATAAATAAGTAATTATAAATTGTTCATAGTCGGTACTTATGGATGGACTCATAATTAATTAAGACTTGAATTGGATCCGCGTTAGGTTGAGATATATTGCGAGAGCTGTCGTATGCAATTTCTCCCTATCATCGTCATGGCATTTGACTCTTAAGCATGAGAAAATTATAGACTCTTTTATTAATTAATAATTATTTTGATTTGTTCGGCGGATTCTTCGGGATCCTTAGACTGACACTTTGGGTAGTTATGTGATTAATAGTTAGAGGGTTATATTTTCAATATTTACATTATTGTTACTTGTATTTATTTTGTATTGATTATGGTTGGTCACAAAGTAAATTCGAAGGCCTTCGTGTGTTTTTAGACAAAATGATTTATTATATTTATTTATTTAAATTATTTTTTTCAAACAAATGTTTTATTGTGATCGAGCCAGAAATAATCAATGGTACCAATATATATATATTAATTAAGTAGTCAGATTGATGGCTTTATTTATCCGATAACTAATTATGCATAGATGAGTCAAAGTGCAATATTGATTTAGAGGTTATTTATTATTTAATTGGAGTTCAATTAATTTCTTTTAGTGGAGTAGAAATTAATTTATGAATTAATTGAATTGGGTCCATGGACTGGGCCAATTATTAATTCATTGTAGCCAATAAAATAATAAGCCCAATGGATTCTCACTCATAGCCCAACTTGATATTGGAATCATATTAGATTTGAGACATATGAATTAGAGATTGAGAAGGATTTGTTGTTTCCTTTTCTTTATTTTTATATTGCCTATAAATATACATGGCCTATGTATATTTTAGGGGTGATTTTTATGAGAAGGAAAAAGGAATAAATTTTCTCTCTCTAGAAAATTAGGATTAGTGTTCTCATCTAATGGAGGCTCCCACAAGCCTAATTTTTCAAGGTCATTCATGGAGGCTTATGAGTGATTCCTAAAGGTAAGACCATTACCAAGAAGATTGAGATCCATGGAAAAGGTGTCTAGCAAAAGGGATCTACAATAAGTGAGAACATTCACTTTAGAGGAGAGATCTAAGGTTTACTCAAACCTTGATGTAAGTATTCAATCTTTTAATTGAATGATACATCATATTTTATTTTTGCATAAAACTTATCTATATGATGAATCAAGATCTATGAATCAAAATTCCTCAAAAAGTTTTTAAAATTTGTACGTTTCCCAACAGAATTAACCCCAAATAAGTATCGAATCTGACGTGTTTATGTCCAAATCATCTACTTAAACAGTCTTCAAAAATAATTATTTATAATTCGGTAATTCATTTTCGGTTTCTCTAACATTATTCATAATTATAATGACAAAGCCATAGATATAAGTAATAACTTATACACCAATATTATGATATTTGCATAACTAGCTTTCTCCTCTAAATTAAGTAATTGTACGTTTTTAATGGTCTTGTTGAATAAAATCTAAATAATAATTTATATTTAAATTAATCGTGTTTACGCTGTATTCTATTTTTTATTACGATTCTATGTGTTATAATATATGTTTAGGTCTGCATATCGCGTTCATGTCCATATTACATAGCTAAAGCATCTAAACAAGCTTACCTTTTAACTTATTAAAAAAAAAAAGCATCTAAACAATATGTGAACTCATAGACTCCGTAAACTAGGTTAAGATTTCTATGTTGTAAAATGTTAGTCCGAACATATATTTGTTTCTAAACTTGTTTTACAAGACACACCCAACCATACCCTACTGTTACTGGAGGAGGGGTGTGATCGACCTCTCTGCTAGTCGCAACACACAGCCTGGTGGACATGCGGATTGAAAAGTCTGACCCTACTATAATTGACCCCCGTGACACCTACCATCATAGTGAAATGAGAAATGTAGTTTGGACAATTGTACTTAGGAGTCTCACCAGAGCATTACAGCAGATGCAAGGGACAACTTAACAAATCGCCGGAGGTTCTGAAAGGCCTTCCATGAAAACCCGCTCCAAGCTCCACCACACGACCCACTGAATATATACAGCAGATGAGCCGCCACTATTAACCACCACGACGCGTTCAGCACCACCGCCGCACCCACCGCGGCGATCACCGCCATCGCCATGAATTTGCTCTGCGCCTGTAAAAACTTGGCGAGCGGGAAGTTCACCGCGTATGCAAAGAGCTGTGGAATCATCCACACCGCGAATCTCCCGGACGCATTTGCTATCTCGGCTGTCTGGCCGATGAGTATCAGAATCGGAGCTGCGAATATTGGCAAATGGGTGTGAAGATGGCCGGAGCAGCTAGGTACCAAATCTTTTTTTGACTCCACAGCAAATTCTCTGATGAAATCTTGAACTCCGGAGATGGGTTTGATGTCGTTTTCATTGACGGCAAAGGATGAAGAAGAAAGCTCTGATGGGAGGGCTCTCTGGATGACCTGGGTAATGATGCTCATCGTCTCTGCTAGATAGAAGTGGTTGCTTGATACTACCCATGAGAGAGTGAGAGTGAGAGAGGTAGAGAGAGAGAGGGAGAGAGAGAGAGAGAGAGGGAGAGGGAGAGGGAGTTTGCTTGTCAAGTGAGAAAATAAGATCTGGATGGGTGTTGCTAATCTAAATAATTATTGTTTTTATGTTTTATGCGATGACTATAAAAACTTTGATTTTCACCCATGTGATATAAATAGAAGCATTTTCTTTATTTGATGACTGGCCCTATCGTATTGATTGTCAATGCTAATTCTAGAGACCTCTAAAAGTATCTAGAATTTTTTTTTTTTCAAATCTTGGAACATATAGATGACCAGTCCGTGATTAGTGGTGCCATAATATTGCAATATTTATAATTAAGAAGAATATATATTTACATGATATTTTGGTTAGGAGTGTACATGGTCTAGTTTGATGTGATTTAAAATCGAAATTGAAACTGTGAGGACATAAATCCGAATCCCAACAGGTTCCAGGTCCCTCATATAAAATTTTGTTTTATTTTTTAAAGCGGGCTCTCTAATTCCCAAATAATATGAGATTTTAAAATGTAAAACGAATTGTGATGACAGTCGCGCAACGAATTAGGCGACTGTCTAGCAACAGTTGCCCTAGCAAAGCTCAAATTTCTAAAGTTCTAGTTCTTGGGTCGAGTGACCTATAAATAGGCATGTCAACTTTCTATGAAAAGATACTATGCATTTTAAATAAATAAATTTTTTTCATATTTTGAAATGTGACAGTTCTACACCCATCAGTGAATTAGATTTTTCATCTTAAATCAATTCGAATATGGTTTCATAACTTTGATACGAATGAAAATATTTAGTTTAATAATCTGTTTAACAATCAAAATTTCAATAATTCGTTTCGTTAACAAATCATATATAGTTTATATTATTCAATTTGATATGATAATAATTTGGTCCGGCCAAATATTATATATAATATATAATACGTTATAAATATATATATTACGTATATATATAAACAATGCTTGCTTTAAACTGCGTACTTTTTATGATGAGGTGATTCAAAAAAACATTAACAGGTATTAAAGTTTTAAAAGAAAAAAAAAAAAAAAAATGGTGACTACATGGAATAGAAACTGACCATTAATCCATCCCTCTTTCTCTCTCATGCAGTGATATATATTACTTCTATGTTTTAAATTTAAAATCAGACAATGTTTTTCGCTTTAGTGAATCGGACCATGTAAGTTGTGAGTTGACAAGTAATTCATCATTCCACCGCTGATAGCCTTCGAGTCCATACTCCTTCATGGACAGTGTGTTGGAGGGCTAATGGATCGCTCATGTTCATCTTTGGTGATATCGCTTTACGTCTCCGGCAATGGGTTCAACTCTTGATCCATGACGCCGAGTTGGAATTTGGAACGATTCCATGGAGCCCGGTGGCTTTCTCGTAGTAGGAAGAGTCAATTGAATGGCCTATGAATACTTCTTGAAGTTTTTATCCCCTGTATTCATCATTTTTTTTTTCCTTTTTAAACTTAAACACCTGTTAATATTTATTGAACCACCTCATCATAAGAAGGTTCTTTCTTATGCGACTTAAGACAAGTATTATTCTTTAAACGAGTTTCATCATAAAGTAACTTATGTCCCCTTTGAGATTGAGTGGTCGAATCTTATTGGGAACAACATTGTTGGATTTATTTGAACTTTTGGCAAGAAAGAAAAAAAATATATTGTTTTTTGTTTTTTGTTTTTCTTTTTTTTCTTTTTTTTTTTTTTTTTTTTTTTTTTTTTTTTGTCGGGGAAAGACTTGTTTTTAACCTTATAACTAATGTTGACCTTTGGGGTTTCATGCCAAAACAATATATATACATATATATATATATATAGGGAGAGGCTCTCAGGCGGACCAAAAAAGCGGACTATTGAACGGTCTTCAAGTGAAGTCTATTTTTAAGACTTAATATCCGTATTGGTGGGACCACTGAAACGGCTAAGTAGACCAGACCCAATTCTCGGCATAGACGTAGTCTGTTGTTTGCCTTGTCACTATCCTTGCATCGCCAGTTAGAACAGAAACGCCAGTGCAATTCATCCTTGGCTACCGGCAATCCGGGTTGTTCGGCTCTTACAGTCGCTATCTTTGCCGGACTCCATACTTGCCGGTTAGAATACTTCATGCCGCTGTTACCATCCGTCCACTGCCTACGAGCTCGTTGCAGAAATTTCACTGTCATCGCCGCCGTTCAGAAATCTAATCTGCGCAAACCTTTCTCTCTCTTCATGCGCGCATCCCTTCTCCCTAGTCCCTTACTCTGCAAAACCCTTTCCCCTCTCGTTATCACTTTTTTTTCCCTTCTTTTGATCAATCATCAGAGTATTCAATTCATGTCGAATCCTAACAAAACCCAAATCTAATTCACCAACTCCCATCTCGCCGGAGGAAAGGGAAAGCAGGTTGCGACAGAGCCTGTGGGATTGCTTCTTCACCGACAGGAAAAAAAAATTGATAAACGACAAGAAGAGAGAGAAAACGTGTTGCCGAACACGTGGGTCTGTATTTTCCGGCCGTGGGTTGCTGCGCCGTCGGTTTTCCCCTATCTGTACTTGAAGTTAGGTGGAGAGACAAAGAGATGAGAGAGACATAATAGAGAGCCCCCCTTTTAAAAGGGGTCCCACCAATATGGATTTTAAGCCTTAAAAATAAACTTCACTTAAAAGACAGTTCAATAGTTCGCTTTTTTGGTCTGCCTGAGAGCCTCACCCTATATATATATATATTGATCAGTAACACACACCCAACGCACTCACAATCATGTATATTGATCAGTAACACACACCCAACGCACTCACAATCATGTATATTGATCAGTAACACACACCCAACACACTCACAATCACACCCAACCAACACCTAATATAACGACACACATTCTTGGCAAAAGTCCAATATGGTATCATTATAGTTTGACCTTTCTTTACCATGGAAAGTGGGCTTTGGTGCTTGGGCCAAACTGAAAGAGATCCAAAGACCTCATAAGAAGAGAGTCCAGCCCACTAAGGAGGTCCATCAAATTCTGACTGAGCCTTCCTGATCAGGCCTTGTATTCATCAACAACATGGGCCTGGAATAGGTCGACCTTAAGTTGCTAGTTCCGCCCCGAAACTAATCTGTACCACCCATAGAGGAGTTCATGGGTCCACCAATAACCCTCCCTAGTTCTTGCAAGTACAACTTAAAAAAGATTTATCAACCAGAATCAATCATTTAGATTTCTCAAGATATTTTCTTATGAAGTTTTGTTATAGCACCCGTGAATTTTTTATTTTTTTTACATTTTTTTTAATTTTCGGTTGATACTCGCACAACCACCCCTCCCTTCGTCCCTCCCCCTCGAATAATTGTTTATGCCTAAGAGGAGTGAAATCTTATTAGACCTGATATTTTCTGAGGCATCAAAGCCAAGTTCTTACTCACTTGAATCAACTCCTTTCACCCTTTGAATTTGTTTCTAATTTTAGTCATAGCCCGATAAATAGACACTCACAAGAATTAGCTCGCATTGAATGTCACACAATTCGCTGAAGATAAAAAGGACATCCAACCCATATGAAATTTTACAACTAGAATAAATAAAATAAAATAAAATAAAAAATTAAAATTGGGTTTGATTAATTTATCAAAAGTGTGCATAGTGCACCAATAAATGTTTAGTGTCAAACATGAAAAGTGCGAGTTTAAATTTTTTTGATATTATGTAGATATTAATATTAATTGACCTCAACAAATAACTATTAATTATGTAGATATTACTATTAATTGACCTCAACAAATAACTTAGATAGGTAGATATAACTATATTATCCAGCACGCTTGTATCTTGCAACTTTTCTCTTTCTTTTCTTCCCCAAATGAGGAAATTGAGATATTTATTAGTCCAAAAGAAAATGAGTTCAAAAAGTTTATAACTGAATAATATTCCATACATATTCTACCTCTGATCTAAAAAGATGAATTTGTACCTGTTAGACTATTGCCATAGTTTGCAGTATCGGTCACGGTCGCGATATCAGTCACGGTCGCAGTATAACGGATTAAAACAAAGTCAGTTTAAATTGATCGATACGAATCGCGTATCGGACTTGAAAAAAGATAATGTATCGACCAATACGGCGAATCATTATTGTACATTTTAAAAAATTTATTTCTACAACACCAAATATGAACATCATCTTCTTGCAAATTTGTATATTAATAAATAAAAAAATTCACCAGCCACACGTTTGGTTTCCTAGAAAGTGGAAATTTGTATTGCATCATTTTCCTTTTCTGTCTACTTGATTGCTCAAAGAAAGTGACATTAAAGCAAGGAAAGACCATGCCTAACAACATTATTAGATCAATGGTCCAAACGCCAGCTAGAACCATTGAAAGGACATAATATGTGAAAATTACTCATTGGAGAAAACCAAAACTCGTGTATCTTGCTTGCCTACTATATATTAGTCAAAGCAAGTGTTAGTCGAATCAAAACTCGCATTCAGATTTATTTATAATTTTTTATTTAATTTTTTTTGGTTTCACAGTTTTTATTATTATTAATTTTTTTTAATTGAATTGGTCTATGACACACGATTCTTCTCGGCAAATATAGCTCGTTTTTACGCTACATGTACTCTCGATCTTGCTCTCGTTCTCATCTTGTGACCTAAATTCTGTTACTTTCGCACTTTCAGCTCTATGTCGCTTAACATGTGCTATAAATTTGATATTTTTTTTTTTTTTTTTTGTTCTTCAATTATGTCATTACACACATAATATAATAATTTATACACACTATGTATTGTAGAATCTTGCAACTTGCCGACGTCGACTGAGCAGACATGATAGTTGATGGAGTTGGCCAAGTAATTATTTCATGTCTTTTCGTTATTTTAGTAAAAATAAATAAATAAATGATTTTTTTTTTTTTTTCCGTCTTTTCGTTTTCCCCCTCTCGTCCTTTTAATTTGTCCCATAATTTTGCCTCTCTTTCTTTTCTTTTAGGACCACCATCTTTTTCAATCAAATGTTTTTTTCTCACTCACCCACCCACTCTTTCCGATCATAAATGGCTCTCCTCAATCAATTTTATTTATTTTTTCATTCTTTTCTCTCAACCACAAACTCTTTCCAGACGTAAATGGCACTCCTTCTACTTTAATTCTTCCTTTTTAATGTTATCCTTCTTTTCTTTTCGCCCATTCTTTTTTCCTTCCCCCACAACTAGGGTTGTAATGCTGGCAAGTTGGAGGTATAGGTCAAGCTCAACTCTATTCATACCTTCTACTCTAACTACTCAATTGGAGCTCAACTCATCCTTCTACTTTTCTCTAATTTACAACTCGTGCTTAGATTTCATATTATGAAATCAGGCTAATTCGTGTTAGCAAATCGGGTTAATTCGAGTTACCTATATAGCGAATCTTCACATTTAAAATTTAATGTGATATTGAGTCAGTTTTCGATTAATTACTCTTAAATAAAAAAAAATTTAGAAAACGTATTGCAAATTTTTAATAAATTATAAATTAATTCTTAAAAAATTAAGATTTAACAAATGAAGTTAAAAAAAAAAAAAAAAAGTGATCATAATTTCAATATTATATATAAAGCAATTAAAATAAACATATACATATATATATATATATAATATTAGAATTCTGGTTTGGTTGCTAGCACTTCAACCCCATCAATCTAAACAACTCTAATTAAGTTTGGGTTGAGATTTTTCAATCCAGACCGAATACTACTTGTAAAAATGATTGCTCAAGCTCGCGAAAAATCTATCCGGACTCAGATTGGATTCGGGTTGCCCAACTCAAGTTGCACCCTTACCCACGACACCAAAATATATTGGGTGAGCTAGACATACTATGCTATTGATATACCCACCTAATGAATATGCGCAACTTTAGTTGGTTGAGAGTAGTTTTTATGTATATGTGAGATCACTTTTGATTGAATTGTGAAGATGGACGGACTAATGACATGGCATGTTTGGCTCACCTAATATCTACTCCACATACGTGCACGCATACATCTTTTTCATGGTTGTGTTGTATAATAATCATATTCTGAAATGGCCTCAGGCTTACTTATCGGTGGGTAAAAAAAAAAAAAAAGATTATTTGAGTTGAATTAATTGGGGGTGATTGATCAACGGGTCAAAACAGTACCAAACCCCTATTTCTCCAAACTCCTATTTCTCAAAGAGAGGTCAGGAGTTCGAACTACCGTAGAGATATGTGTGTGTGAGTTCCAACTAGAAATTTTTTTTTTGGAGGTGATTGAATTGTTGCAGGGGTGGCCATACGAGCAGGATGGCAAGCACTCGTTGCATATGTGAACATTGGGTGCTATTATGTGTTTGGTGTCCCTGTGGTCTCATCATGGGTTACAGACTTGACATTGGCGTCAAGGTAAATAACACCTTCTCTCCACTCGGTCAAATTATTAATTAATATATGGTTTCTATCATTCTACTTTTGAATTCTTTTATTATAAAAAAAATAAGAATACAATTAAAACACAAAGATTTACTTGTTTCACCAGATTGAAATTTCACGAAGAGCAAAATAAATTACAAGCACATAATAATGAAAAATTGCTTCCATCATACTCCTATAGAACTAGAATTACATAATAAGTGCAAGAATATCATAATAAAATAAAAAAAAAATAAAACTCTTGGAAGAATTCGAATCAGGAACACGCCCCCAAACATCCACCTTAGGAATAGATATTGAGTGTGTTGAGTGCATAGTGCACCAACTCATCCTAGCTGTACGTGCATAACACACGCCCATGCGTACACAACACGTATAGTTCAGATAAATCCGTTGCACGATGTGCCAGGTGTACGGCCCATAAACTAAGCACATGTGATAACTGATAAGGTGTACATTACTGTCAACCCCACACTCTCTATATATAATTATTAAAATCATACCCAATTGCTTAAAGTGCACACATGTTAGAGATTTGCCTAAAAATCTTACGCCTTTATTCTTATTTTAAGACTGATTTTGATTCCTCACTTCTCCATCCTGAATAAATTTTGCTCCAAAGGCCACATTTAAAATGGTCAATTTGAACCTGTCCTGCTTAGACAACGACCTCGCATGTTCAGTATGTTGGTGTACTTATGTTTAATTCAATTTCTAGATATGACTTTGCATGTTACCATACAACATACAAATGTGGAAAATTACAAAATTCAGTAAAAGATGTTATTGTTCTTGCTCCACTTGGAAACATCTTCATATATGTTGGTATATAACACACACACACCCTCAGTGTACATCCCATTTTCAAGATAACCTAAAGCTTAAGCAAATGAATTTTTTTTTTTTTTTTTTTTTTTTTTTTTTTTTTTTTTTTTTTGTCATTTGTGATTTTGACCTTTGAAACCCTACGTTTTAGGGTTTTGAGCAGAATATATGTCTTTATTGAGCTATAATTGTGATATACGTTGCTTGTACCATTGAGATTATCAATTGAGCATGTGTGTAATGTTGATATAAGGCACTGGGAATCAAGTTCTATTCTGTGTTGATACGAAATTTCGGATTTACCCCTCAAAACACAGATTCAACATAATGAAGTTTTGTTGCCGTTATTTGATACTTTAAACTGTGTAATCAATTTTGCCCTTTGTAATAGCTTAAGTACTATTGTTATTCACCATTTTCAATGTTTTTCGAGAGCTGTGAGAGTTTATAGGGTCGAAGCAGGGTTGCTTGGGACAGGGAGAATATTTGTGTGTTGTTGTGAGCTAGGGTGTTTGAAGAGTGAGAGACAACTGAATGTGTATCTACTTACATTACAATTATTGGAGCTTACACTGGTAGAAACCAAGGCTTTTGATCTCTACTTGATAACAAACAAAAAATAATAAAAGTATAAAATAATTTAAGTTAAAGAACAAATGTTAGAAAAATCAGGTCCAGTGCTCCAACAAAATTCTTTAATCATTTTATTCCTATTTTGTAAAAAAAAAAAATTGCTACTTTCAAAACTTTGAAGAGTCCTAAAATACAGAAATAAGTGAGAATAAAAGTGATTATAATAATGAGAGAGGAGGGAGATGTGGATTCTCTAGGGAAAAAAAAAAAAAAACACCCGTTGTAATGGGAGAGGAGATAAAAAATGTGAGGAAGATGGAAAATGGTAAATAAAAAAATAAAATTTAATAGGAATGCCAATGCCCATTTGCATAGACTATTGCCGGAGAATGGAACCTCCCTAGCTCCTTCTTCGAACCATCACAATTCAACCCCTTCTTCTCCTTCGCCATTACTCCACCACCACCACCACCACCTCCACCACCATAACCAAATCTTACCATAGATACTTTCAAGTTGTTGATTCCCACCATCCCATTTGTTGGATATTATTGTTTCAGGGCCTGGGCTTTGGACTTGTTTTGCCAAAGGTTGGTGTTGCCATTTTATGAGTGGGCTTTTGTTTGTCTGTGTTGGGTCTTTCATAACCAATCCAACAGTTGGGTTCTGTTTTATATCACTGGGCCTTTCTTTTCGACTTTGTTGTGCTAAGTATACTGGTATATTTTTTCTGTTTAATTACAGTCTTAATTATCCGAAAAGAAAAGAACACTTAATAAGAGAATATGGGAAGGGAAGTTTTACCAATTCTCATAATTATGGCATTGTATGTGTGTGTGTGTGTGTGTGTGTATATACATTTTTTTTTTTTTTTTTTTCAAAATGTAGCACAAAAGTACTGTCAATAAAATCAAGATAAAAAAAACACTGGCTTTTAAAGGAAGCACTGTATTTTGCCAATGAAATATATCATTGGTGAAACAATGGATTATTATTAGTATTTATTTATTTTATTAAATAAGATTTTACATATCCAACAAAGTTGCAGAGCAAACCAAGTTACAGGCCATAGCAGACCAGAAAGGCTAAATCCAAACAACAGCAATAATACAAAAATACATCAAAAAACCAGAAAATAATAGGCCAGTGGCCTAGCAGTACCAAACCCCTACTTCCCAAAGGAAGGTCAGAAGTTCGAGTCTCAGTGGAGACATGTGTGTGTGAGTACCAACTAGGAAAAAGAAAGAAAACAACAACCAACCACTTCATCCAAGAGCATACCAACCGTGTGTGTGTGTGTGTGAAGAATTTTCAAGCACAAGAAGTAGAGAAGGAGTGGAAGGGATCAATTTGATGCGATCAGGTTGAGAAGAATTGAATCTGTTTGGATCAGGAAGATGAAGCAAACTTGGATTATTCTCACTTGTAAATAAATAAATTTTGCTAAATTTTGTGCATCCATGGCTTCTTCTTCTGTTACGCTTTCTCTTCTCGGTTTCTTCTTTCTACATCATGCTCTATCACATCTGATTCCCCTCCCCATTGTTTTATTCTTTCACCAGCAATAGAAGCCTGCATTTATCACCAGATTAAATTAACTGCACACTTCACTTTGTTAAAGTTATGTTTGGTTGCATGAAATTAATATGCATGTAGTTCTAATTACCTCTTTTTTCCAATTTGTTTTATAGATAATCCAGAAAAGGACGAATGTCTGTAAAACTGTTCCACTCAGCATTCCCCACCAAATTCCCTGAAAATTATCAATAATGATAAATCAATAAGAATCACTAAAAAAAAAATGGATTATTATTTTTTTTTTTGGGTAAATAAAATGGATTAATTCATGTGCTTAAACTTTAGCTTATCTTGAAAATGGGATGTACATGCACTTTGCGTGTGTGTGTGTGAGAGAGAGATATATACCAACATATATGAAGATGTTTCCAAGTGTAGCAAGAACAATAACATCTTTTACTGATTTTTGTAATTTTCCACATTTGTATGTTGTATGGTAACATGCAAAGCCACAAGGTGATAACATGTCAGGTCGTTGTCTAAGCAGGACAGGTCCAAAGTGACCATTTTAAATGGGGGCTTTGAAGCAAAATTTATTCAGGACGGAGAAGTGAGAAATCAAAATCAGTCTTAAAATAAGAATAAAGGTGTTAGATTTTTAGGTAAATCTCTAACATGTGTCCACTTTAAGCAATCGGATAATATTTTAGTAATTATAAAGACCGTGGAGTTTGATAGTAATGTGCATCTTATCAGTTATCACATGTGTTTATCTTACAGTTCGTGTCGCTCTGCCCCTAAGGTTGGGGAAGGTATTGGGTGTGCCTGGTGCATCGTGCACCACGCTCATATGAGCAATACGTGTTGTGCACGCGCGGATGTGTGTTATACACGTACAGGTAGGATGAGCTGATGCACCATACACCCGACACACTCAATATCTATTCTTAAGGTGGATGTTTGGGGGCGTGTTCTTGATCAGATTTTTTTTTTTTTTTTTTTTTTTTTGATATTCTTGCACTTATTAGGTAATTCTATGATGGAAGCAGTTTTTCATTATTATGTGCTTGTAATTTATTTTGCTCTTGGTGAAATTTCAATCTGTGAGGTGAAACACGTAAATATCTGTGCTTTAATTGTATTCTTAATTTCTTTTATAATAAAAGAATTCAAAAGTAGATTAATAGAAACCATATATTAATTAATAATTCCAGTGGAGAGAAGGTGTTATTTACCTTGACGCCCATGTCAAGTTTGTAACCCATGATGAGACCCACAGGGACACCAAACACATAGTAGCACCCAATGTTCACATATGCAACAATTGCTTGCCACCCTGCTCCTATGGCCACCCCTGCAACAATTCAATCACCCCCAATTAATTTAACTCAATAATTCTTTTTTTTTTTTCTTTTTTCTTTTTTTCTGAACTATTTGGAATCGTTTACATGAATCATGTCCCGTCATTAAATTCCATATCTAAGTTCATAATATCAATTAGTTTCGCAATAATATAAGTATAGGCACAAACAATTAAAATTTTGAAATTAATAAATACCAGAGAGAGCAGGTTGAACATTGTTAATGACAATGCTAAGTGCTAGCAATGGTGTAAGCTCATATACAAGCTCTTTGACTTCTGCATTGTCTGTAAATATGGATGGGTACTGCTTCTGGTTGATCATCAGAATCATTGCGAGGAAGAGGCCGAACAAGAACGAAGTTATTCCGACCACAACCACCGAGAATTTGGCCGTTCTAGGGTGGGCTGCACCGAGTTCATTTGACACTCTTACTCTGTACATTTATCCAAATTACAATTAGTAAGAATAGTTAATCAAAATTTTATTATTATTTTTATAGCTAATTTTATGTGTTGTTAATATTTTTGATGCAATTTTTATTAATTGTAGAAGGCAAATAATTGAGTAGGGAGGGGCTTGTGTTACAAACCCTACGGCTGCATTCAATCCAATAGCTTCCATGATTATCCAGCCCAAGATGTTCATGCTGCAAATGCAATAATAATAAGGACCACTACAAAGTCTGCAATATGGTAATAATACTTGTGACGACTTATATTATATAATAAGTACCACTACAAGTCCGCAATACAGTAATAATACTTGTAACAACTTAAGAAAAACACCATCATAAGAAGAGTTGGTGGGGCTCACATTTAGAGTCCGCGTGATTGACCTTTCTTTTCTTTTTCTTTTTTTTTTTTTTTTTTTTTTTTTTTTTTTTTATGGTAAAACAAACACACACACTTTTTTATCCACGACAGGACTCAAACCCCTCCCATCTCCTTTGAAGATAGAAAGTTATACCTTTTAGCCAAAGGCCCTTTGGTCCCACGTGAATGACTTGATCACATTTTATAACTACTTTTGCCAATTTATTCATTTGCTTCGGATGTGTTAAAAAAAACACAAAATATTGGAAGGGTTAATGTTATGATTGTTATCATGACATTATCATCAACTAATATAAATATAATTAAATTAATCCGACAATCACACTCTGTAACCACTTTATGGAAAGGAGAGAGCAAAAAAAAAAAAAAAAAAAAACTATTATGAATTTCACAATCGAATCTCTCGTCAATTTATAAATGGACAATTAGAATCTCCAGATAATTTTCAAAATTCTATTAACAATAATTATTTATGGTTATTGAAGGTAATTTTTTATAAGAAAATTAAAGTTGACCTCCCAAAATTTTACATTATAGTTACTTATAAAGATGGTTTGTGAAATAAATTATTTATGACTCTTTTGAACTTTTTGGTCTTGAATTAAAAAATTCAAATTTAATAATAGAAGTGCTTATTATTTTGTAAGCCTCGCAATATATATATATATATATATATATATATATATATATATTTCACAATGACTACTTTATTAATAGACTGTTACCTTATATTCTTCCTATTTATTTTTCTCATATCGTTTATACATGCATCTGGAAAAAATTTTATTGCCATTAATTTTTTTATTTATTAAATTTAACTCACTATTTGGCCCTCTAATTGAAAGTTTGATCATGGATATGGTTGAAAAATTGAAAATCCCAATTTAGAATGTGAGAAAGCACTTTGAGGCTGTAATGTTTAATTTTATTTGCTTTGAAACCTTCAATCTTGAGTTGTTGAGAGTCAGTTATACGGGAACCAATTGTATGCCTTATTTTTTAATGTTAATTAATGTGCGACATAACACACTCACCATATGGAGAAGGCGTCCACTGAAATTTCTGCATTCTTTAAAAATCCAGCAAAGAGAATTAATACGGTAAGATACCATATCTCCAAGCTGCATAAATATTGGAAAGATAAGAACATAAATCGGAAACATTGACTTAGAAATATTGAAAGCTACCAAAATTGGAAACATTGACTAAGAAATAAAGAAAGCTATCAAGTAATATATTAATTAAACAGGTGTGACCATTAAAGTGACCATATCGACTGGACCAGATCCCTGTTATTTGTGGTCATACAGATTTAATTTCACACCTATCCAAGAGCAATTCATATATATTATATTATATTTGATTATAATCAGTGTATATTGTATTTAATGATACAATAACACTTGAAACAACTAACATGTAACATTAATGTAGTGGTTGTGCATGGAATTCTCAGTTAAAACACGAAAAAAAATAAAGGAGAAGAGCGTTTGGAATTCGATCTTTGGTCGACTTTTTTAAAAGGAAAGTGCAGTTCTTTTTTAAAGTCAGTTCTCTGGACTATAAACTGAATAAATTTTCTAAAATAAAAAAATTATAAAAGACATTTTTTTTTTTTTTTTTAATTATTACAGTAGAAAAGAAGAATTGTAAAGAGAAAATATTTCAGGGGCATTAAAGGATTTTTCGAAAAACGAGTCTCACCAGATCATTACAGCAGATGCAAGAGACAACCTAACGAAGCCCCACAGATTCTGAAAGGCCTTCCATGAAAAGCCAGACCAAGCACTACCACAAGTCCCACTCAAGATATACAGAAGCTGAGCCACCACTATGAACCACCATGACAAGTTCAGCACAATGGCTCCACCCACCAGTCCACACCCCAACTTCAGCATAAACAACCAGCTGAAGAAGGTGTGGAAGAGTAAAGCCACCGCGGAGATCACCGCCATTGCCATGATCTTGCTCTGCGCCTGCAAGAACTTTGATATCGGAAAGTTCATCGCGTAAGCAAAGAGCTGAGGAATCATCCACACTGCTAAAGTTCCGGCTGCCTCCGATATCTCATCTGTCTGTCCGATGAGCCTCAAAAGCGGCGCGGCGAAGATGTAGACTTGCATCAGTATTAGGGCAGTGGCATTGAGGATAACCCATGATCTCTGCATGTAGATCCCTAACATATTGATCTGCCCAGCTCCAAAAGCTTGTCCACAAAGTGTTTCCAGCGCACTTCCCATTCCCAACTGTTGTTCCATTAAAATTCACTAATTAGTACTGACAATTTAATATGAATTCAAAACTAATGTATTAACAACTTTGAGAGTATGATACATTTCTAGGTGAGGAAATCATAGTATGATAATCACTTATAATTAGTATTGTTGTGCAATGGACGGCTATGATCACTTTATAAATTAAATCATAGTAGTGTCTTACAGAGGATCCAAACTTATTAGAAGTGAGTGGATTCTCGCAACATGCAGCATGGTACTGTATAGCAACGGACTGTTTTGATCGCTCCATTACAACACACAACAATGTAACTACATAGGATCCAGACACGTTAGAAGTTGTTGTGATCGTCCTATTACAACACCTAACAGTGTATTGTTAAGGATCCCAACTTCTTAAAAGTTGTGAGTGGATCCTCACAACATGCAATATGATACAGTATGATATTGTATTGCAGTAGACGATTGTGATCACTTTACAGATCACAGTCCTACATTGTAAGTACTGCAGATGATCCAGACTCTTAGAGATCAATCAATCTCATAATTGAATATCAGATGCAAGAATTTTTTGTTAAGATAGACTATTTGTTACCATGATCCCAATAGAGAGGGCCGCGATGACATTGTTCTCGATGGAGATGGCGGCGAGTTCAAGAGTTCCGAGATGGCCGGCGAAGGTCTGAGTAATGAAACCGAGGGTGTATTGGCAAATGGAGGTGAAGATGGCCGGTCCGGCGATTTTCCAGAGCTTCCATGACTCAACCTTTAACTCTCTGAAGAAATCTCTAACTCCATTGATGGGCTGGATGTCATTTTCATCGACAACGAAGGACGATGTATAGAAAGAACTATTTGATGCTATCAGAATGCCGTGTGGATTATCTGGATACATCTGCTCATCTTCACTTTGGGAGAGAAGTGGCTGCTTACAATTCTCCATGAGAGAGAGACGGAGAGAGAGACCAGAGAGAAATTATGAGTACAAAGTCTTTGAAATTTTGATCAGATCCGTATTGCATGAGATATATTTATATGCTGTCTAGTCCAAGTTTTTTTCTATTTTTTCCATTTGAATTATCTTTAAGTGGTCCAACTTTGACCACACACTTTGTTCCTTTTTTATTTTTCACTTTCACACCCAAAGACGTGTGCATTTTTTGTCCGCGTGTCCATTGCGTTTCAATTAATAATGCAATAATAAACTTGAATGAGTAATTTTTTTATTAATAGTGTTGCAGTTTTATTTTTTATTTTTTCTTAAACACATAGGTTCTATAACACACATCATTTAAGTTCGGGGGACGATTCAAAGCCCAAACCTTTGCCAATGCTACTATGTCCCTGAGGCGTGTTGCAACTTTACAACTTACAACACATGTACATGTTAAATGAGTATTTCATTTTAAACATAAATATATTGAATGAGTGTTACATTATTATCATGTTGTGTTCAATAGCAAGGAAGGAAAGAAGAGGTATGGAGAGAAAATAAGAAAGAATGAACAAACTTTCTTTGTTTGATAGAAATGATATAAAAAGAGAAAGGAAAATAGGAAGAATGACCCATCCTTCTTCCTTTACAAATTTTCATTTGCAAAAAATGGGCGTAAGTAAGGAAAGAAGAAGAGTGAATTATTGTAAAAATTTTAAATTAAATACTATCCTAAATTATATAAATTTTAAATTACAATATCATCCTCTATAAATTACAATACGATAAATATTATTACATATAATGATAAAAATAATTAAAACTTTATTTTTCTTCTCTCCCAACTAACATGGTAAATTATGAGTTTATTATCTTATTTTTTATATAACCGAATAAAAAGAAGAAAATACCCAATATCTTCTTTAAGGATATCTCACCCCTGGCTTCTTCTTACCCTTTCATCCAATTTTTTTCTTTCCTACATAACAGAACATGAGTGTTGTGTTGATTTAATAGTGCTACGAAAGATTATAAAAAATATGTGAATTCATGAAGAATATTTTTAAGAATAATAATATTTGGGCAGAAGAGTTAGAAAGAATTGTATAACCAAAATTTGGTGTACCCAGTCAATATCCCGAATTATATAACCGAAATTTGTTGTTAACCCAATCATTATCCCACCATAAATTTGTTTTAAACTTGTACCTCAATCAATTAAATTATTCTTCTTTGGCCTTTAATAGAGGTAGGATTACAAAAATGTGTGATTGGTACTTCTCCTTGACGATAAGATGATAAAATGTGTGAATAGATGGGGTCTTATTTTTTATTAGATTTGGATTCACATTTGTAAGATTCCGGATCAAATGGACAGAAATAGTTTCTACGCATGTCGGATTTTCTCACTAGTTTGACTTTTTATATGTACAAAGTTGCTTTTATTTAGTGAAGTTGCTTAATTTTGTGTTACTTTTGACCCACAAATGTCTTAACATGTCCCTACCTTTTTTGAATTAATTAAAGTTTTTAACCTCTACACTTACTCCTGTGTTACTTTTGACCCACATGTCTTGAAAGTGTACAGGAACGGCAATTTGTCCCATCCTCCATTATTTATTTATTTATTTATTTATTTTTAAGGACCGTTTAGTTTATTTGAATAGGGATGGTATGATATATTAAAAATTCGCGAAAATTCAATGTGGGGGCAAAAGGCCATTATTTCATTAGTATATATATATATTTCGCATTAGTATCCGTATTTCATTAGTACTGTATATATATATTTCATTAGTATATATATATTGAGATAGTTTGTTTTGCAATAAAATCTGAAACAAGTAACTTGAGCGACTATTTAAAATGTTTTTAATGTTGAATTTTATGTTAAATTGTTTAATGTTCATTTTTTTAATGAATCTTTTCAATAATTATATAATTTTAGGTGGAGGGAAGACATGAAGGAAAAAACAAACTTAACCTTAATTTATTAACAAGGTGGAGGGAAGACATGAAGGAAGAAACAAACTTTCTTCGCTTGGTCGAAGGATGCAAGGAGAGAAGAGAAAAAAAAAAAGGATGGATGAGTCATATATCCTCCTTCACATATTTTCTTTCTTCCAAATATGGACGGAAGATACGAAGGAAAACAGGCAATGTTATTATAAATATTTTTAAATTACAAAACTTTTCTTATAATTTGCCATTTCTTTTTCCTTCTCTCATAATAAAATAAAATAATCTATTATCTTATTCTCTTCTAAGAATGGAAACCAATTCCGCCCCGTTAGAAAATCCGTTATCAACTCTGCCTCTACTCCAAGACAAGTTTGTAATTGGTATATTATTTCCGCCCTTACTTTTGGAGACAACGTACCAACTCCACCTCGCGTGCTCCGTTTAATTGCGGGGAGGGTGCGGGTTATACCGCCTTTATCATTTAGTATAAAAAAAATTAATCCAATGTGCTCAATTTGGGATAATAAATAAATTGGCCTAACTTTTAAAGTATTAAGTAGTGAATATTAATATATTAACTAACACTTCCAGCAAATAACAAGGGTCTTAAAAATATTAAATATATGCTTCTTCTTCTTCTTTTTCTTAATTGATACATGCCTCCACCGAAGCTCAAATCCCTAACCTCCCTTTGTGAAGTAAGAGTCTGATACTGCAAAGCCAATAGCCTGTTGATAGATATATATATATATATATATATATATATATATATATATATATAATTTTTAAAAGTACATATATAATTAGGGTAGAGGTGGGGTGAGTTCATCACTAAAACCACCCCAGCCCCAAACCTGCTTCGGGTTTTGAATTATTTTACCATACCCACCCCAAATATATTTAGGGGGCTACTAAATCCACCCCATTAAGAGCGGCGCAAGGCAAGGTGGAAACCTATCGGGTTGGGGAAATTACCATCCTTATTCTCTTCTTTTCTAACCAACTAAACAAAAAAGAGAGAAGTACATAATCTTTTCGTTAAAGATGTCTCATTCATCCATTCTTCTCTCCCTTCCATCCAATTTTCTTCAATCGTACCAAACAAGCATTAGTGTTTGGTTAGACCAAATTAAAAGAAATAACTTTTTAACAGTGAAAATAAAATTATTTTATAATTTTTTTAAAAGAAATTTTGGTGGTAGTAGCGGCGGAGGTGACAATGATGGTGGTAAAAAGCGGCAATGCGCGGTAACGGTGGCGTTGGTTGTTATGGTAATGGTGGCAAAAACCAGTAGGCGGCAGCGATGGTGATGATGGCGATAGTAATGGAAAGCGCCTGCAACAGACAGGGGTGGCGGTGCAAGGTGGTGATGATGAATGGCGATAATTGTGGGGTGACAATGGTAGTCATAGTGATGGTGGTTTTTGGACTTTGAATGTGAGAAGATTTTTAAAACGTATTATTATTATTATTTTTTCATTATTTTTACTTTAGGAATGGAATAATCTTTCGCCATCTCATAAGGTAGATCCTGTTTAGTACGCGTTTTGTTTTTGCATTTTTGTTTTAACCTGAAACAAACAAGTTGTATTGTGTTTTGAATCGTAATCGAAAGCATGTTTAATAATGTCTTGCAAAAATTTTGGAAGCAAAAAACATAAAAGTATATTCGGTAAAAACGTATTGCAAATTTTAAAATATAATGGCTAGTTTAAAAAGGTCATTTCCAATTTTATTATTTATTTATTTTTTGTTACTGTTGATTACTATAGTGCCAATCAACATGTTAAAGCACCAAATTTGTATTTTTGACTTTTAGCCATTATTTAAGAAACGTTTCAACACTATACAAAATAAAACATTTTTACTAAACACATTTTCTTTACTGTTCATTACTACAATACCCTACAAAAACAAAAATATCAAAAAAAAACAAAGATATATACAAAACTAGCCTTAAGAAGTAGAATTTGTGAAAATCTTGGAAGGATCATTTCAACTTTAATTTGTATTACCAAAAATGAAAGGGTCCCAAACTGGTAGGATCTTGAATATCTAGTACAGTTCGATTGAGATAGAATTAGGTTACTAGATTGAAAAAAAAAATTCATGTCGGGCATGGTCTAGACAATGTATGTGTACCTGATACTGAATATATATAGAGAGAGAGATATATATATATATATATATATAATACGTAGTATATATTTTTGGGGTTCAACGACCGGCAAAAAGAGTCTATGCGGTGGATTTCCTGGCTGGCATGAAGATTAAATCACGGGGAGCTAGTATGGAATTAAACCTCTCATTTAAAACATGTGAACTTTGCATGTACACTTGGGCCCAGAAGCTTTGGAAATAAATCACGTCGAAAGAGATTTTTTGTTTGCCAGAAAAATAAATAAATAAATAAAAGGATTTTCTATGTCATCAATAACAATTTTTTTCAACCACCTCTTGCCCATCATAATAACTTGACTCTGATACTATTATTATTATTATTATTATTATTAAAATATTTATATTGTTCTTATAACACACGTATCATTTCAATCAAGAATGTGATTTGAAAGCGAGACTTTAAAGACTTACCTTCCGAATCTTTACTAGCACCGCTACAGTCCTGGACTTGATACTAATTGTTTGGTTGGGAGTATTCAACTTAAAATATTAATTCATTCAGTAGAGTGTTCATCGCCACATTTAAGTCTTAGATTCCTCACTTCACTCAATAATTGGTAAGCATTAAATTTATCCACACTAAACATGAACACTTTTTTAAACTCGAATCATATCCAACCAATTTCATTCTTGATGTGAATCAATTTCATGCTCACCAATAAACAAAAGATCAATAGCCTGAAAAAAAAAAAAAAAAAACAAACAAACAAACTTTAAATAATTATTTTAAAGCATTACCATAAAATAAAAACATCTTAACTAATAAAAATAAAACTAAACATATCTATATATTTTGTTTGCAAATAAAATGTACACACGTCTAATATTTTTAGACTTAAATAAGAAAACAAAAATGAGCAATATAGTAATGATATGTTATTCTTTTTTTGGACAATGTAGGTTTATTTTTCACATTTCTAAATTTTTTTTATTCAGT